AAATGCCAACCACTCCTCATTTTACTTGAAGACGTATTCAGCCCTACTTGACGGCTTACACCTGATGGGAAAACTTGAAACTTTATGGTAACTGCCTCAAAAATTATTCCTTCTCCTCCAGTTATAACATGTCTCTAAATAGAATATTTTTAAATCATCTTGTAAATTTATATGGACCTGACTTTATGAATTGCCTTGGATAGATATTTTTTTTGACTAGACAGAAAGAGTTTATTTTATAATGGTATGTCATTGCAGAAATCCTCTTTTAACACACAAATGCGTGCAATGCAAATGCATCCTCACTGGTAGGGCTGGTATACCCTAGTGAGTTATAAAAATAACTGCCCCCCGGCTCTTATCACAAATTGAAGGCAAAACCAAAAGCTGTGGTATTTGTAGGGCTGGCTTAGTTGACCTTCACGACCCAAAACCCATCGTCATTCTTCAGCTGCTTCATATGCCTGTAAAACTCTGTAAATGATGTCGACAAATACCTTCATAGTGCATCAGCGTTGTAGTCTAGCCACCGAAATTCTGTTTAATTCAGCAGTGGCCAACTCCTCTCAGTGAAGAAACTAATACCACTGCACAAATGTTTATCAAGATCGCATTAAATTGCATAGGAACAGTCCTAAAAGTTTCGATTTTGAAGGGACCAAAATGGGATTGGCTCGTGCATCGTGCATTTGTTTGTTAGGAGCAAATTTTAGGATCAACTGGAAGTTCTCGAGTTCAGAGCTTTTGCGTTGCTGCAAAACACGAACCACATTTCAGCCGTTAAAATCATTTTATCCTTTTGGCAAGTTGGATTGTCAATTTCTAGGGTGATCTTGCTTTTATTCATTTATATTTTATGCATAGACGCATTCGCCTGTTTGGCATGGTTTGCAAAACTCCTTTTAATGCAAATGCCACCTTTAGAAGCTCAATAATTTTACCCAAAACGGTCAAAAAGGTTGTAAATTAAGCCCGATCGAATTGCTCTATCAGTGAACAAAATGTTTTGCATGTTACTTTTATCCAAACTTGTGGTACGACTTTCTGGTTTCCCAACATATCGCATCCTCCATGATCGCTCTCACATTTCTCTCTCCCTCTCTCAAATTACCTAACGTTTGCATCACCTCTCTTAGCACCTTAACCCGCCCTATGTCCGGTTATGCTAACTGCTCATTTGAAATCACCATCCGCCTTCCGCAAGTTTGGGTAAACACCTAAGTTTGTGCACATCACCGGTCGGTAGGTCGGCGATCAAACGCAGTTTGGTACTCATGCGGCAGCTGGTGTTATTTAAAATAAAGATATTGCTTATGGCCACAAGGAACAAATAGCTGTTTCATGTGGAGATAAAATTGGCCACTGTAAATCGACAACCATTACTACATCCCTTAGTTCTTTTCAAAGGAATGTAAAGTTGTCAATGATGAGGTTAGAGAGATTTTGAATCAGCATAAGTGGTAACCGTCTTACAAATGTGGGGTAGCGAGTTCTTTGGGATAAAAACTAACATTATAGCTCAGCAAAACCTGAATTGTGAAAACTACTTCGTTTTACAAGTCGGTCAGTAGATAACTTTAAACAACACATTTTCTTATTCCTGAGAGTATGTTAGGTAAGCTGAAGTTGATGACCTTGTTCGTCGTTTAATAAGTCCCACTTAGACTTCCCGACCTCCTCAATTGCTGTAGATTTCCATGGCTTATTCCACCATTAATGTTATTAATTATCAGCCGTTTATAACTCATTAGTTCAGAGTGCAATAGAATGGAGTGAAACACAGTCCTTCGTAGTGTTTTGAATAGAGGGCTCTTCTAAACCCATCCTTGTAATCGAAGTGCCTTGGGACATTTATAAGTGCTTCTAATGCTATGATTTGAAGCTGGCCCTTCTTTGCTAAACTGATACATTGTCTTCCATGTTTTGAGTATTGTAAGGAAGACCCATTGAAGTGCATGAGGGTGATGCTCCAGAGGGGAGTCCGCTCCGCTAGCCAATGGACGCACACTCAGTTTTTATTATACAGTAAAGATCCCGCTCTCACAGGTTCTACTGTGATCGCGTACTTGACACTTTGATCGCCTTTATCGCTTAGTAGCGCTTAATAATTTTGGTGGTAACGTCACTAACAAATACATTAGTAAAGCTATGCGTATTCCTCTGTTCTATCAGTGACTGATTTAACTTGACAGCAAAGAGAAGGGCTGTGATATTGATGCTAAGAATATTTTACGATTTCATCAATACATTCGAGTATATCAATAATTTTCAAGAAACATAGACTAACCAATCATTATAAAGTTACACGACATTTTTTAAGCATGGAGGTTGATTTACAAGGCGTAAAGCTTAGTGACTGCTTTTAAAGTGCGCATCCAGTAGAGATCCAAAAAAGCACGAGAAGGTAATCACAGTTGTGCTGTTCTGCACTATTCCAGAAGGGCCACTAAGATTTTGTTATTTGAGTGCTCTGCGCACAATGCGGCGCTGGAAGGGTAGGGCTCTCACCTGCCTAAATCGGCTATCCATGCGCGCCGAGTTGGACCGCTTGGTCTGCTCCGCGTACCACTGAATGTCAGCGAGAGAGATGAGCGGTATTCTCAGGGCCATTGCACACACAGTCTCTGAACGCGTGGTGAAACACTCAGAAAGTGGGTCGTCTGCGGTCACCTTCGATACCCACCGCACCATTGGAGGCAGCAAATCCGATACTTCAACGGGTAGCACCAGGTACCTTTCAATCAATGGATAATTGAAGATTCTTCGGAATTTCTGAAGTCCCTCATCATCGGATGATCTGGAAATGGAATTGGGACAGAACGAATATGAAGTCCTTTGAAAGGTTTGGAATAAGTTGTCATTGGTTCTCGAACAGCTGCTCAATTGTTTTTGCAAATTTTGGCACTTTCGAAACACTGAAAGATACTTGCTAGCTTCATTGGCCAGTTGGATCCGCGTCGATTTGTACTGATCCTCCAGTTTGGACTGTTCAATTTGAAACGAAAGATGGGCTAGTGGATCGTCAGGAAAAGGTGTAAATTGTGTCTCGGTATTGACCATTTCAGGAAGTGTTTGCACCTTTACAGAAACCTTACTAAGGTATGAGCAGATAGAATTGAGAGAAACCTCCGGTGTACATGAGGGTCCGACATTAGCATCTCTAAACCCATGACACTCGTGGTGTCTAGAGGACTTGTGGTCATCTAGTTCAGGATTGCTATGGTGCTTTTTCCGACATGCGTGGGGTTTCCTATGCTTATGAAGGACTGGAGGTGGTATAACGAAACTTTCATCTGTCAGCAGGACTTCGGGGTCGCGAGACCTGAAAGTCGTCTCGATTTCAACTTCACAGTCTCTCACATTCGACTGGTTTTGATTCAGTTCAACAGCAACACTGTCGTTAACCTCATCGGTAGTCTTAATGAAGGGTCTGAAAAATTCCTTTAGATTTTGTATGTAACTCCAAGCACGTTCAAGGAGACCAAAAACACTACAATTTGTAGTTTCTTTTGACAAAAGGTCTATGCTGGCTTGAAATATAAGGCACCACAAAAGGCTCCGGTACAGAGTATCGGTTGGTAAGCTCATTCGAAAATCCTGATTTGGATCACTCTGTCTTTGATTAAGCGCGGCCAATTTGAATTTATTTACTTGATCCTTGGTGATTTTTGAGAACACTTTATTGAGACCTTCGAGGCTCTCTGTGTTGAATTGATTTGTTCCATTGATGAGGTTTTCAACAAAGTTGTCCACAAGGCCCTTCAATGTATGCATTGTTTGCACGGTGATTCCATGGGCAGGAAAGGACTGAGCTGCTACTTCCACGGTTGAACGTGATATACAAGCTGGTTTACGTTTAGAAGAAGCCTTAGAAAGTCTCTCAGTCAAATCTGTCACACCGCCTCTGACGGGTTTTTGAGGCTGTGATAGCGCACATTCGTAATCCTGATGCGAAATACGATTGCTGGAATTCCAGCCTCTCCTTTTATTTGACAGTGGCAGAGAGGGATTGCGAAGACTGGCTTCAAATGAAACCACACCGCCATTTGCAAGTGGACGAGAGACTATGTTATTCAGACAGCGAGCATTAGGTTTCGACACAGACATGGGAAGTTGTCTAGCGCGATGTGGATTCAGCATGATGTAAGTTTGAAGTCCAGCCTTCAAGGTCGGATGCACACGCGTTGCAAATTCGTCCGGAGATGGATCTTTTTAAAATGACCAAATTATCGATCACAACTCAGAAAAGGGCTTACAACCTACTTATCATGGATGGCAAACGAGGGCTTCCGCCATTGTAATGCATCTTGCATGTTATATTCGTCAAGGCGACTTTTTTTCATTCTATTCGTCCCATCCATCATCATTTAAAAACACTTTCCATTTGCATCGCTTCGTATTCATGAACAATATGGAAATCAAAGTAAGTTTACAAAGTTTACTTGTAAAAGGCAAACCATTGTGTGGCGTTTTATATTCCCCTGAGGCTTTCCAAATCATATCGATGAGCAAGCTAATTTATCATCGAATTCGGAGTGAGGGCAGGCGAAAGGTGTGACAGCGTGGACGTCCCCCTAAGCCCAAGTTCAACTCGATCAGAATGAAGACTTTACACAGCCGAGGTTTCGCTTCAATGCAACTTCAATCATCGTGCTTTTCTTAAAATTTTCCTGACTTTACTTGAAGCAATATATTTTGAAGAACTTTAGATGTAGAACATTGCAACAATGACAATAGCAGAACCTACTTTACTTTTACTTTTCGATTTCCCCAAAAGGAAATAAGTTCGCCTCGATAAAGTTTTCGTAAACACCTTCACCACTATACCTCATATAGACATTCTCTACGTCTACAGTAGGCGTTCTGCCTCCCTATGTCTTCTAAGAGGCCTCGAAGGACCGGAGAATGGAGAATTCAGTTACATCATGACAAGTCTACAAACAGCTTTACTGGGAACCTCTCCTGGATGAGGTAAGCGATGTCATTGTCCCAAGAATTCACTGTTGTGAAAGAGTAGCGGAAACGGTAAGGATATCGATAAGCTAACGATGAAGTAGACACCATATTGTGATCCAGTTATCTGAGCGACTATTTTTGAAACTACAGCTACACTTACCAACTTACTGTTGCCACGACACAATCACACAAAATGTTCGGCTTTCCCCCACTTTTGTAACTACTTCAAATGGAGTGTAAGGAAAATGGCATTATATTTGGGCAGTATCTCCACCTACAAAGAAAACATTCGACAGCGCAGACATGTCTGCAGCTCCCACTCGCTTCAACATTAACAAAGTCCCGAAGTTTGTAGTGCGCGCGAAACTGGCGACTACGGTCTAAAGGCATCAATTAAATCGTATGTAACAACCAAGAAAAATCCTAGCAGACCAAATGCAGAAACTACTGTCGCCACAAACAAACAAGATGAGATCCACACGACTGGCCAGCACAAGGCTCTGAGGCCCCCCCACCATATGCCTTAAACTGTACTTCATTGGCACAAATTGTTGCATTATAGCACAAGTGGTACCAACGCATCCTGGATAATTGGCATCCACCTTCCCATCTGGCTGTCCGTACTTAAGTTTGGTATAGAATGCATCTTTAATTTCCGCTATTCTTACCTAAATGCACCACAAAGCCATCATCGGAAAGAGGCTCACTGGAGAGGTACGTGAAGGACGTGAAACGGGACGAAAATACCCCCAAATAATGAAATCTCGTAATGAGCTATCCCTCTTGCCGATCCAAGGAACCAATAGAAAAAGCTGATAAATTACGCGGCAAAAAAGCGGAACGCATAAGGTGAAATAATGCGACCAACCAACACGTATCGCTTAACACTGAAAACTGTCTGCAAAATTTTACTATCTATTACCTAAGATACTCACAGGGGCAGTGTGTTTAGAATAGAGCAAGCGTTGACACCAATTATCTTTTGATTCTAGATGCTAATTTACTGAATAGCTCATTCGGTTATTGGCGTCTTTGGCAAGCATTGCTACACTGCACTTTGGAAAAAGTCCCTATTCCCTACATCCACGGTATGAGAGGAGTGTTATTAGGACGGTGTTAATCTTAGCAAAAAAAACACGAGAGAAGAGAAAGCCAGGACGTCAAAAAATCGACAGAAGGGAGTCAGTTGACAGGAAAGGGAAAGAGAGGATGGGTGTAAAGGGCAGATTGAACAGATGAAGTCAAATGCAGCACGCAAAGATCGGAAGGGCAGGTGGCCGGAGAGTTGGGATGAGTCGACAACAATCACACGCAGTTGTAATAGAGGCGGATGCGGCGATTAACAGATGATTCAAGTGTTTTGCGCTCCATCAGAGATGTACTGGCCCTCCGTCTGGACGGCCCAGTTATCGAAGATGTCGTAGAGGTTGTGGAAGGTGGGTCGGTCCTCTGGTCGTGCTGACCAACACTGCATCATGATTTCGTAGAGATCATCCGGACACGGCTGTTTTGGTGTGTTCGGATTTGGCATCCGATAGCCGCGCTCTACCTGCTGCACTGTTTCTCGGTTAGTGAAGCCTAGGTAGTCGAAAGGCATTTTCAAACCCACCTTTTCTTTATTCCCACTTGTTCAAAGGTTGGTGTACCAAAAGATGTGAATGAAACAAACTGATACATTCGTCTTCGCTCTTCGAAAATTCCTGAATAATCTGAACACGGTGAGACTCCAAAAACCAGCAGCGCTTCACAATGCACAAAAGCCAGTTCCCCGAATCTCGATCCGCAGTTCTAACGTTTCCAAGTAGTTTTGAAGTCAAACGTGTTGTTCAACAACTTTATATCGGTGGAAAAGCATTTGTGATTGTAAAAAGTATCCTTTGAAATAAATATCTGAAGAGTTCCATCGACATTTTACTGAGAGTGCTTAGGTCATAATTAGGATAAAGACGAATGTTACAATGGAAATCGTGTCTTAATCGCACTCTGTGAAAATATAAGCGATCAAAAAATTAAATTATGGAGAAATTTGACATAAATTTTCCTAATAAGAGAAGCCAGATTACGCCTAACTTTGGCATCGACACCGGAAATGCCCATCTCGTAGTTTCCACCACTATGCTTTGCAGACTCCACTTTCTGTTTGCAACTAGTGAACGAGACTTTCTACTCTTCGTGTCAGAGACAACAACGGGTTCGTCAAACGTCAAGGAATATCCGACAACACGTAGTAATTCGCGCTAGGAAGCAATGACTGAAAGCCCGTTTCTCGCAAACCGGATTGTTTGCGTTCACAGGCTGTCAAAATTTGCCCTCATTCGATCTCCAGCGGTGAACTGGATGTGTAACGTACAAAATGTTCATGGGCATAGAGAGACTATAGCTGATCAAAGTGGAACATTGGTTAAACTGATCGCATCATGGCAAAAAACATATTATTACAGAAAAGAAGGTTAAGCCCGGTGAGGGTTCAAACTTTGTGATACTCCAGCAGATGACCAATCCAGTACTGTAGCATCTCTAAGACTGTATTTGGGTTCGACTACACCATATGCCTATTAAGGAGAAGAGGTGCGTTCATGGCTAAAATTTTTGAGGTCCCTTTGTTTTTGCTTTGTTGACATATCGTTAGGCTTGGAGGCATATAACTGAAATTAAGGGCACGCGTACTTGTGCTCGCTTATACTTAACAGACGAAACCGATTTTGATTGCAAGGAAAATACTTAACAAAGTTTTAGGATTTAAAAGTCGTAAAGAGAGAGGGACTTTCACGATCTTGGAGGCTAGAGCGGTTGATTGCCACTCTGCATTCACATACAACCACATTGAAGTGGTCTGTGAAGACTTTTCGATTGACTGCGACCGTGACGATGGCATTTAAGACACTAAGTAACTGCCAGAACATTGTTTTTGAGGCCCCTAGTCCGACGTTCTGTTCAAACTTACTCAAGAGGCGAATTGGGGAGTCTGAATGGATGAGGAGTTTAATCGGGTTTTATGCATCCTCTTTTTCGTAAGTCAAATAACTCTCAAGATCTAACTTCAATTTCATACTGATGTAGCACAGAATATACTTTGGGAATTGCTTCTTAGAAGCAGTCTTCAGCACAACCATAGTTCCAACCAGGTTAGGGGTTGTCTGAAAATACCAACACGAAAACTTAATGTGGACATTATTCCCAGCAGGTCTGATTCCTCCCAGCAGTGGCATCACCAGCGAAGCCATAGAGAAAACCAAGCCCTGTAGGGCTATTATTAAATTGCATGATGACAAAGATATAGATTAAACATAAAATTCACCTCATATGAACTAAAAGACTGAGGAGATTTTCCCATTCTATGATGTATTCGAGCGGCCATGCAGTCAACCAGGCACAATTCTAACTAAAAGCATCAATAGAGGCGAATTCGAAACAGAAACTTCTACTTAGCACATTCTGAAATCCCAAGGATGGTCACCCCTCCTGCTGCGGTCAAAAGGTTAAAGTGGTTCCAGCGATACACCTGACCGCATTAATAGTAAATGACTTTCAGAAGATGACAAGAGTCATCTGTGAAGTAGAGGATAGAGGGATTGACTTACGAGGATAGGGAGTGCCACCATAGGTGACTATTTCGTACATTAACACCCCAAAGGACCAGACGTCCGACTTTATACTGAAGTGGTGATCTGGAAGAGCCGCCTCCGGTGCGGTCCACTTGATGGGGAATTTTATGACTGAAAGTGAATGAGAAAGCAATAAATTAGAAGAACAAAGGGCGTAGCATTCCTAGCGGTACATAATGAAACGCAAAATCCGTATTGTACCAATAATTTCATAAACTTACTGATATCATGATACCGAAATATACCTTGACCACATTTTACTTCTAGATAAATGATTTTAGCCACGAGGGCTGATGTATTAAAAGACCATGCCTTAGAGCAGATACTATGACAGCAAGAGTAGCAAATAGTCGCTGCCGTCTGAGTTGAAAGTGCTTTAGAGCAGCACATCCATCACCTCAGCATGAATATCGTTTCAAAGCTGCCCATTAAACTTCTACGTAGATGCGCCTTAACCCGATTTTAGAAAGACAACGTAACGGGTAAGTCCACATCAAGTGTACAAAAAACAAATCTTTCTGGTGCGTGCACTAACTGTGCCACCTACGACAATATATTTCCGGTCTCAAGAAATAGTCTAACCAGACAACGATTTGTTACATTACGGATATTTAATGGCTAGTTAAAAAAAACAACTTAACGGAACGCATTAGCCAGATACAAGAAGTAATTACGAGATAGAGTGAGATGCCAGACACTCCATATAGGGCAATTTATGACCAAAGAAAAACAAAGGCAGGAGATATTAAAGCAAGCGTTTGCATTATATCTGGTGCTGGGAGGTGGACAACATGAAAGGCAGAAGCCGACGATGCGTGTGGACATTTAGGTGAGGATCTAGTAGTCTGTATGAATAATATACTCAACCACTACTCCTATACCACTTCACGCATACATAACTGCGCTATAAATAGAAGTGTGCTTCCATTTGACACGTTTAAAGCACAGGGTGTACTGTTGAGGTGTTGCGTTGAGAAAAAAGTTTCAAACGCACACAGCCGAAACCTTGATGGCTCCCGCGAATTAACCTCCTCGCACTTCAGCCCTCGGGAACATTCAAGTTTGATTTGCTTCAGCTGTTGTGTTTCACAGTGTCTCATGGGTAGTCCTAGTGCTACATCGGTGGCGGTACAATCCAACATAACACCAAGACAGCGCAATTCCATGTCTGGGTTCAGGACAGTTCCGATGAACTGCCTGAAAGAACAAATGGTTTCAGCGAAAAATCGAGGAACCAATACAATATTAATTCACTTTAAAATTATCACCGCCTATCAGACTGAAAACCTCTTTCTGCTATACTTCCATGCAAGGAAAACAGGAGGAGTCCACCCAAAGCACATGGTACGCCTCAACATAAACGCGGTCACTCACAAAAAACCTAGATTTAGACTCATGCCTTAATGCAGACTAAAAGAGTAGAGAAGCTTCTGAAAACGCCTAAGAACTAATGAAGGACAGTGACACAATAAAATTATGTAAACGGCTAAGGAATTCACCGAAAATCGATTCTCGGCAAGATTAAATTATGCGGCTTCAATACCGACCCAGATGTGCGATAGAAACGACTGGATTTAGCGATGACAACGTGATCTCCTCAAAGATCGGTGCATTGAAAAGGTTAAAAAATAGGAATTAAATAAACTTCTAAAGTGCAATAAATAAATAAGTCATTTAGTAAATGTGGATCTTGACTAAAGATCGCCCAAGGCAACAAGTAGTTTAGCAAAAATTGAGCAGCTGTAACTGATAAAGAAGTAGATACGCCAATTGCGCTTTCTACAGCTTCAGAGGAGCCATAATTTGCATAATCCTGACAAAAAGTAAGGGTATAGGAATGGGAGACGCCAAAATTAAATGCACGATGAGTCATGCGCGATGGATGGACACCATGACCCCTCCGTTCTTTCCCATCCCGAAGGCAAGCCATAGCACAGACCCAGAATTAAGGTGGGATCAAAACAACGCATTGACCATTTAGAAAAAAGACCATATAACACTGTATTCACCACAAAACGGAGCAAAGCATGTGGACAACACGAAGCCGTACCAGTTTACCAGTAAACAAAGCAACTATTTGGTCAACGTGAAAAGGCAAGTATATGCAAGCCGAACTCGAACGTGCGTGCGCATAAACAAGTTAAATGAGTCAATCAAAGCACACACACGTTTCGTGTTTTGTGATGCCTACACTCGGTGTAGACACACTAGCAGCGTTTACAAGATATCGCGCGTAAGAAGATGCTGCTAAGACGGTGTTAATAAAACCGTGTTCGTTTGTTCCATCCGGCTGATTGCCATTAGCTTCAAGAAAACCGCATTAACACAAGCTACTTTGACTACTTAAAGACAAGGTTCCATATGATAGAATACAAACACAAATACATGTTTGTTTGTGAGTACATTAAGAGGTAATAAGCCCAATATTTATGGCAAGACCAAAATGGAGAGAGCACCAACTTTATTCTTACAGAAATCGGTAATCGATACCCCAACTATTAAACGCATCCCTTGATTAAAACGTGAGGAGGTTCTGTGGGTATTAAAAGAACTCACCTCCATCATTTTGGACATCCGAATCTAGCATTTTAGCAAGTCCAAAATCAGCCACCTTGACGGAGTTGTCGCGATCCACAAGGATGTTGGCGGCTCGAAGGTCTCGATGAACAAAGTTCATCTCCTCCAGATATGCCATTCCTTCGGCAATCTTGGAATAAAAAAACAGTTTAAGGAATGACTCTCTTGAAAACAATCCGCAAGGGACCTTACACATGTTGACTGCAAGCGCAACGCAATGGATATTTTCAACCACCTGAGGTCACACGATATCCACCTTCAAATAAGAGACTATATAACCGAATTCCTCTTTTAAATAAAAGCGTTGCGAAGTCACTTAAAACAGATTATGAAAATAGGCTTTGGTCCGGAAGACAAATCAAAAGGAAACAAGTTCAAAGATGACACCACTGGCCCTGTACAAAATGCTTAGGAATAGCATTACATAATCCAAAGAAATTTCTACTGCAGGGCTTGCAGTAGATGTACATCTGAACATCAATCTACCGTTTGCGTAGATCTCACAAGCAATATCAAAGTTATACGAAACTGTGGTGACTGATTTGTTTACTTTGTCCGATTTCGCGTTAGACTATCTACTCACTGAAAATCGAATCGACACAGCAACTGAACACACCCAGTCATCCGACGTATAGAGCCAGCCCACACAAACTGCATATAAATCTTGATCATGAAGCATCGATAGTTAACCGAGGTGCCAAAAAGTGACTAATGCTGACCTTAGTGATACTGAACTGGGTTAAGCATGCAAAAGTTTGTAACTAGTTCCTCCAAAAAATAACGTTAAGCGCTGTATGACTTGTCTAGTTCACACAAATTGAGGAACAAAAGACGAAAAGCAGATACAAAAGTTGTCTTTACGATTTTAACATAGAAGGAAAATATCTCTGCTACCATGCGAGCTGACTACTTAACATGTTGCTCAAAAAAAAACCGAGAATAAATGAAGAGAATCGAGTTGTTTTATCTCTTGTTATCTTAAACAAAATACGCCCCTAAGATAGCTGTTATTTGCACGGTTCTACGATATGAATAAAAGCCAGACGACGAGGTGCGAAGATAAAAAGTGACCCCTGTTGATGTGACATAATGATGTAAAAGATTGTGCAACAGTACAAGGCTACAGGAAGTAATGCATTTAGGGTGGATACATGCAGGCATTAAAAATAGCAAATTCAGGATGGACGGAAAGAAACAAAATCCAAACCCATACAATAAGTAGCTGACTAGATGTAACCGACCAAGGGGATACAAACTCAGAACCTATGGAAGAAGACAGCATAAACGGATTTGAGTAGATTAAAGCTGAATTCAGAGAGCAGAAATAAATTGATGAATCCTATGAAAGAGACCCACCTGCGCGATCATGTCGATGAGGTCGCTGAGGATGAGTTGGCGACCCTCCTCGCTGCTCAGGAAGTTACGTAAAGCACCTTTTTCTAGCAACTCCGTAATGATGAAAACAGGCTCATCGGCCGGCTCGGTGCAGACGCCAAGGAGTCGGACAATACGACGATGATGCAATTTGTGCATCACTTTTGCTTCCTCAATGAAAAGCGCACGGTCTGTCGTGGCGAGGCGCTTCTTCACCGCCACATCAAAGGTTTTATTCCACCGGGCCCGGTATACCATACCGAAGCTGCCATTGCCCAGCTCGCAGATGAACTCAAGACTCCGCCGATTTGCTTCGATGTCGCGGAATTGCACTGGCGGAGTGTACTTCCGCGGACAAGGCTGCGAGAGGCGACAGCACAACCCATCGATAGTAGCTATAAGCAAATCAGTCACAACAATATAAAAGAGAAATCCTCTATGCGAAAATTGCAATTATGGAAGTCTACGCGACTCGAAATGAAGTGCATAACATCAATAAATACGGTTTCCAATTCATCCACACCCACCTCACTTTGGTAGAAGGGATGCACACAATTTGGCTCGTGCCCCACAAAGCACATCGATCAAAAACTAAAGCGTGAAATGAACGCAGAAATAAACTGTTTCCTACATTGGATCAGTAAGTGCCATAGCTCAATATGTATTCACCCAGTATATCGAGAAAATTTTCCGCAAATAAATATATCTGGACAGTAAAGCTACAGCTGGCTGGAAATATATTTCTATAACAGTCACAGCTAGACCAACAAAACCAATTTAAGGAAGTGTTTCAGATAATTTAAAACGGTACAACAGAGATACCTTGGCAGTAGATATTCTATGGATTGACTAGAGGATTTATGTCTAGAATAGAATCAAGTTCGGCTGGATCATGAATAAGGCAAAATTTGAGTCGCACGTCCTGATAAGACAAGGCTTGCAATTAGTGTTCAGCCACGTTACACAAGATTTCACCCCAAAAAAGGCAGCTCCACATTTCATTGGATTGATGAACAAGTGATAGCTTACATTGCCCACAATTGGGAATAAAACAAGGAGGAAATTTCTCACATTAAAATGCCGATAACACTTCAAATTGAATAAAATTCAATAAAATATTTAACTTCCCATAAAGACCAACTTGGTGCTAGGACGTCTATTAATGATACCGTTTACAGTGATATTGCCAAGACAATGGTCGAGGAATAAAATAAGAAACGCATGTACTAGTCAGGCCAAGCACAGGCCTGTGAAAATGTGAGGGCACCGATGCGGTCTTATTACAGTGGTTTAAGGGAAACACACACATGCAGCTCGCGAGAACGCAATGAGCGTTCTTTGAATCACCCACCAGATGCGTCCAATAAAGTAAGCGTCTAGAGCGAGTGAATGCATGACTTCCAGACTCAACGGTACTTCCCTCGCCTCGCATACGCACGAAACACTGCCTAAGTTGTGCACTTCATGGAGTCAAATACGTTCAGCCACAGTACTGTTTATTTACGTGTGACGGAGGCTAGACAAGCGGTTAAAAAATACTGCAAGCGTGGAGACGATATTAAACACAAAGAGGGCCAATCGTGGTTCAAATTACACTCATTTGAGTAGATTAAATTACTCGAGATTTTCATTGTCCATTTCAAAACGCCCATCAAAATGGACAATAAAGTAGTGGCCTTATCATGAAATTTCGTGCGCAAATCAGGGTGCTATTGAAGATCGCACAAATAATAGCATCAAGTGCCCATCAACGATGTATGTTTGTGACGAACTTTACTAGTCTTGATGCTGCAGGACAAGCTTACATCAAAATTGGGAATAACGAGTCACAAATAAGCAATGTTTATTTTCTTTCAAGACGTAAGCAGGTCACTAACCGTTTTATAGTCGCAAAAAAATAAATATCTTCGTCCAAAAATAGTCACAAAGCTACGGCCTCTCAGTATCCGGAAACAAGAAAAACAAGCTGTTTAAAGATCGCTCCTAAATAAGGTGAAACAGGCAGTGTGCAAATACAAGCTAGCCTTTTAAAGTAAAACGATTATCAGAAACATACACTGATAGTGGGAGATGAGATCGGCGACGGAAGCAAAGTTAGTGCGATTAGTGATGTAGAAACCGGCACCCTTATCACGAGTTCGTATCTTGTAGTGCTTTATTGCGTACAAATTCCTATCAGTTTCGAACCGGATGGAGAGCGCGTAGTTTCGGGCATCTATAAGTATCAACAAAGGTAGATTATCCATTGAAAGCACACGCTTTGCCAGCAATTGTCTTGTTCCTCCGATTTTGCAAATAGTAACGGGTAAAGTGACTTCTCATGCTTAAAACTTGCAAATAGCCCAATTAATTATTCTCATATTTCAGGGAAAAATCCAGTCCAATTACATTAAGAGTACGCAAATAGCAACACATCTCACCGGAAGAGGGGCGTAAAATATACGTCCCTTGAGGCAAACCGGGCATCAAAAGCATCCTTTCGGCATCTTTACGTGTAATGTCATACCAGGCTTCCATTTGTGTTGATTGACCGTTTTCTACGGTCACATAATTACTGGGTATGTAGCCCTGCTGTCCAGTCCTCAAGTGACGCGCTAACCACCAAGCTTCTGATAATCCAGACTCTACCAGCATGACATCACCCTTCTGGAAGCTCAGATCATCAGCATTTTGAGCAACATAAGTGTACAGGGCATGAACTCTCACGACTCGAGGCGACTGTTCGGCTAGCTGCTGGTCAAGTGTTGTAGGAGGTTGAGTAGGGCCGTAGGCGAAGGAGGCATTCTGTTGTGGTCCATTCTGCATTCCATAAAGGTTCACTGAATATTGCTGGGAAGGCTGCAATGCTCCACGTGAGGTTGGCACAATGGCAGATTGATTGACACTAACCGAAGTAGCGTCGCTTGAAGGACCATAGTGCCTACTGAATGGAGCTTGCCCAAGTGTCTGGCCACCACCTTGTGTATTTGCACCCATCGACGTCATGCCATTGTCGCCGTGGCACTGAATACCTTCTTTTTGATCGTGGCAAGTCAAACAATTCCCCATTGATCAGTGTTAAGATCATGAAAGCATTAATGATTGAGAACTAAAATCCAGAAAATCACAAATGGATGACAAATGTCAACTAAGCGCAACTAAATTGACTGTAAAAAAGCCCTAAAACTAACAAACTTCGCAAATAAATATCATAGTAGATATATTAACCCACCTTACAGAACAGGATGCATCAACAGAAAAGCAAATCGAATACACATAACAGGGAAAGATGACAAACACAACCAAGAGTTACGTAGAGAACTAATCTAGTATACCACTAAGAAGCGCGTAAAACCAGCCAAGTGCAGCAGAGATAAGTAAAATATAGCACCACTAGAGAAAGTCGAAGACAAACAATACCAAAGACACCTGACATTTAAAGTGAAAATTCGAACGATGAAGTTCAAAATGCATAAACTGAAACAAAAAAGGCTTTCCTTGCAAATACAAGCCTAAAAAACACAAAAACCAATTTAAATCAATTAATATTTAAAATCAAAAATAGACAATCTGAGTAACGTTATAAAAATGGAGCCGAAAAACATTGTAGCACCGCGTGATAGTCATTAAGGGATTTAAAATAAATGCAAGTGCTCCAAAGAAGAGTTGATTTAAAAACCATTAAAATCAAGCTTATAAGCACAAAGGTAGAAACAATCAAGCATCGCTAGACTTCCTACGGAGTGAAAGGAGGCAGCAAATGAAACTGGATACATGTATTCCACAGTGAACAGAGCAAATGGAC